TCTCATGTAATGAGATGAGTGAGATGAGGCATGTCAGATGCCTAGACTATGAGCTGTGGTTTGATGTTGGGGCTTCACTCACTTCTGGCCTCCATGATGGAACCATTAACACTGACCCAGTCTGGGTTCCTCAGAACCTGAGAGAGGAATTTGGAAATGTCTGGTTTATCTGAGAGGTCATCCAGGAAGTACCAGCAGGGGAGAAGAGAGTGGAAAAGTTCACAAGCCAGTCTGGGGGTGCCTACACTAACGAACAGGGGCTACAATAACTGAGGGAAGAGATGGTGGGCCATCACCCACTAGCTCCCTTTGGTCATTGTCTTGAAGCTATTCTTAATGGTGCTCAATTCTTGCACCCAAGAGTTTGCTCAGCATCAAGGCGGAATATGTTCCCACAGCCCAGTTCCCAGAGTATAGAACAAGGTGCCTCAGGGACCACCACAAATGCACAGAACAATGGGGGGGCTATCTTTAATATGATAGGAAAACATCTGTCAAACTGGTGGGGATTATGAGTTCAGCATTAAACCTTGTCACAGGTTGACATTTGAATTTCAACCTTTGTCCTCAAAGACTTATATGGAAGTCCTAACTCTGTGTGTTAGTTTGAAATTTTGAATTTAGTTAGCTGAAAATGTGAATGTCAATCCCTGTCCTCAAAGATTTACATGGAAGTCCTAACTCTATGTGTCTCAGAATGTGACCCTCTTTGAAAACAGCGTCTTTGTAGAGATGGTTAAATAGAGGTACACATTAATATGTTATAACCAGTGTCATAAGAAATCTGGACACAGATACTCAAGGGAAGTCCATGTGGAGACACACAGAAAAGGCAGCCATATGCAACTAAAGAAAGAGAGTCCTAAGAAGGACCAGAATCTCTGTACACCTTGACCTCTGACTTCCGTGACTTCAGATGACAAGAAAATTAGTCTCTGACACTTAGTCACCCGGTATGCAGTACCTTGTTGTGGTGTCCCTGGCTGATTGACACACACAGTTTCAACAGGAGATCACATTTTACTCATGTCTTCAAATGGTTCCATGACTGTGAGGAAAAGCAAGAGCACAGAAATCAGTGTGACACAAAGTGAAATTGATGGTGTCTAGTCTAACATCAGGGTTTGAAAAACTGGGCGGGCAGTGAACACTATATACATGTGTGCCCTTGAGGGGGACCATAGCTATTTAAGAATTAAATACAAACATTATTTTAAAAGTAATTTTATGCACTTTTTGGGTTTTTTAATGTGCTTTTTCCCCCAAATGGCTACCATATTAAAAAACACAAATACTAATTTGTGTGGACCTACTTCTTTAATAAATGGGACTCTCAAGATACTACTTTTGGCTTAGAGGTAATAAAATAAACAAAAGAAATTAAAGTAGCAAAGAGGAATTACTAGGAAGCAAAGGGCGCCATTTCCCAAGGAAGTGTGGGTTTTAGGCAAACGGTGGCAAAGAGCTCTGCTTGGGAATTAGAAGTGTGCGAAGACTGAGTACCAATCATGTTGACTACCAATGTCACTTTCTACTGCCACAGGAACTCTGAGCACGTAGAAGCATTCTTTCCAGTGGCCACAGGATCTGGTCATGAGCAACCATCACACACGCCAAAAGCAGCTGGCTCCATAGAGATTAGGAATCATCTTTTAAAGCCATCAATAAACTACAAGCTGTGAAGTATTGAGTTGGGTTGGCCTGGCCAAGACTTTCTCAGAACCGTGTCTCAGTATGTGGTTCCTCCTATCTTATCTTTCCTTCCACCTTCAATGTGTTGTCACTCCCACTTTTGTTTCTTCATCCACAACCATCTCCTCTAGTTTGTATTAGTTTGCCTCCATTTACATAACAGGATGCCTGAGACTATGTATCTTATGAAGGAAAGAGGATTCCTTGGCTCACAGTTTGGAGGACTGGAAGCCCAAACAGCATGGTGTTGGCTTTAGTGAGGGCCCATTAGCTGCATTACATCATGGCAGATGACATCACTGTGGGAGAGTGCCAGAGAAGATCACAAACTGAGGCAGGAAATTGGGGAAATGGAGAGAGGCCAGGCTTGTTATTTTGTATTAACCCCATCATAGAACCAACCAGAGTCGGGGAGAACTGCATTAAATCCTTCCCAGGGAAACACTCTCAACCACCCAATAACTACCCCAGAGACCCCGCCTCTTGAAGTCTCACCTCCTCTACATCACCACAATGGTGGTCAAGCTTCCCAAACATGAAATGTTGGGAGACACACTCAAATCATACCAAGACAATAACACACAATGGTCTCCTGAAAGAAAGATCGAAATTGAAATGAACTTTTGTATTCTCTCTCTCTCTTTCACTCTCTCTCTCTCTCTCTCTCTCTCTCTCTCTGTGTGTGTGTGTGTGTGTATGTGTGTGTGCATGCATGTGTGTGAGTATGTGTGCACATATATGTGTGTGTGTGTGTGTGTGTTCCCCAACTAAATAGATTCAGAGGTACTCTAAGATCAGGGAGCTTTGATCCCTCAAGTAGTTGATCCCCGAATTATCAAATTGATCTCAGAAGTGCTTTGGTTCATATGGCTATAAAATAAAATAGCTAACAGTTGCCACGTGTTTATTACATGCCAGCCAGTGGACTAGATGTTTTCTGGACATTATATCATTTTCATGGGTGTACAATTTCCACCACTCTATAAGGAGAAAATTAAGGCTCTAGGAGAAATGATTTGGGTAGTGTTGTTGCACAGCTGGTAATTGTGGGTTGGGATTTAAACACTGGTTTAATTCATGAACCACAAGCCTGTGAAGAAGCCAAATAGCATTCGCTTGAATGCCTCAAGCACTGGGGAGTCCACCCATTGCTTTAAGCTGTATAACCCTTGACCAGAGAAGGGAGATGACACCAACCATCTGGAACCAGAGCTCTGTGCACTTGTCCCTTAGTTCCCAGTGAAAGGCATAAAATGGATGAACTGTCGGTGCATGTGACTTTCACACGAAATGAAAAACTAAAGCTGAAGAAATGGGAAGAACTTCCTATCAACAGCATTTGACAAAGAAATGAGTACTGACCTCATTAAGCACTTTCATGTCATGGGGACTGACCCCGTTGGTTTCAGCCTACTCCAACCAGATTGCTATCACTGAGGCTGTTTGGTGACCAAGTTGAAGGCAGAGCCCTAGTTATTTTCCCATCACTATCCACAGTACCCAGGTCTCAGAATCACCCAAGGGCCCCTCAGCAAATGAATGAACAAAGAAAACATGATCTCAAGGCTAGAGAGATGGCTCCATGGTTAAGGGTGCCTGCTGGTTTGGTTCCCAAGATCCACATGGGACAGCTCAGAACTTCATGGAACGCCAGCTCCAGGGAAACTGAACACCCTCTCTGGCTTCCATGAATACTGCACTTAAGTATTCATGGAATACACACACACACACACACACACACACACACACACACACACAGAGGAGTGCGCAAATAAACACACATGCACAAACACACATGGAATCTTCAAAGAAAACATTGTCTGCATTCACAATAGAGGTTTTCTTCCACCATGAAGAATGAAGTTACATAGTTTCAAGGAAATGGTTAGAAATGGAAATCGTAGTGTTAGGTGAAATAAGGCAGACTCAAAAAGACAAGAATTGTATGTTTTCTTGTTTTCTCTTACATGTTAGAATCAAGGGGAAGAGTGTGGAAGGGGAGAAGTGGGGAGGGAAGGGAGGCACAAGAGGAAGTGAATTGATTGAATTACATTATACACACATGTGGAAACACCCTAATGGAGCCAGTACACCACACAATCAACACTAGCAAACAGATGTAGAGTTCCTCAAGCGGATTTCAAACCCTTCTCCTCTGGTTCCTCCAGACCATGCAGGACTGGTTGACTCCACCTCACCACCCCACCCACATTGCCCTGTAAGCCACCCCTCCCCTGCTCCTCACTTTCTCATGCCTGGCCCTGTCCTCTAAACATAACTTTGTTTATCTTCAGCCTTCAGAAAACACTCCATGGCTGCTGAATGCTACCCACAGAGGAAGCAGGCAGAGCCAGGCTTCCTGTGGAGAGGAAGGTCAGATTCAGTCTTGGGACAGACGATGGAGAGAAAATAGCATTCTCAGAGGGAGGTGGTTTGCATTCTGTAGAGAGCTTTTCAGCAGGGGGAGGGGGTCAAAGGAAGATGGAGCCACGGTGAGATCGGTGAGATCGGAACCCTCACAGCTCAAGGTTTAGGAATAAAACTCCAAAGGGATTGAGGCAGAATAAAATACAGCCAAGGAGAAGGCATGAGAATCAAAATATATGGGGTAAATTGCTGCAGGGTGGCACAGAGCAGGTGATCAATAAATATCAGACTGCATTAACATCTGCTCGGCTGTGAGCCCAGAACAGCGAAAATGTTGACACTTCCCAGAGTCATTAACAGCATCCCTCCACGCGGGCTACTCACATGTGTTATTTCATTAATCCTTCCCCTTCAATAATCCTGAAGCCCCCAATATTAAAGATCTGAAAACCCAAAACTTACAAAGTTAGGTTTCTTACCTCAGTGAGTAAAACCTTGGGATTTAGAATCAAACGGTTCTGGGCTGGGGATAACAGTCAGTTCAGGAATATTGTTTTGTGAAACACACAAACAGTGCATTGTATATTGTTGGCTTCCAATAAATGGCATGTACTCATACACACACACACACACACACACGTATACATCTATATCTGTACATGGTTTTAATGGTCATGTAGGAGTTTTCAGGTGGGAAGGGCAATAGGCACCTGCAGTGGACAACTGCACACATTTGAGCGTTTAATACAAAGCCCGAGAAAGCACTCTTAGATGAACAACAGGAAGAAACCGACTTTGAAAGGAAGAAATCTTGGCGATAAGTAGAGAAAAAGCTAAGTTCTCCAGCCTGAGCAAAAAAAAAAAAAAAAAAAAAAAAAAATGAAAAAACACCCTCCACCTCCTCCTCCACCACCACCACCACCCCAAAAGAGGTTTAGACGATGTGGCTCCCTGGCCGGCCACCAGCTCAGAGCAACCAGGAAGAGTCCCTGTCCTCACCTCCACCAATCCCAGCCAAGGAGGAAGCTCTTGGTCGTCCCGGTTGCCAGGTAACCGAGTGAGACCTACCTGGCAGTTAGGCCCCAAGGCTGAGCCCCATAGTGGGGCCTGCCTTGCTCTCTCATCTTGCTGGCTAGGCGAGGGTGGGGCTTATATCTGTAGAGTTTTATATTTTTCGGCTCACATTTTATTTTGCTTATAGGAGAAAGATATCCCCTCCTTAAAAAGAAGGAACACTTATAAAGTGACTTTGTGCAAGTTGAACAGTCCAGGCTTGCCTGTGGGACCTTACCAGACTTCCCTACTCAGGACACCAGATGCTCAGCCTTCCAACTAGTCCTAGGATAGACCTCCTTGGGGTCCCTGGACTTGGGACTTGTGGGTTTGGAGAATCTTGTGGACCTTTTCACACTAGTGAATGCTGAAGTCGAAGATTCTGGATAAGGCAACAAAAAAACCTTCTCTTGAAGGCGTGGGCTAAAGCCTGAGGTATTTTCAAGATGACCAAAGTGCCGGCCAACAAAAAGTTGCAGAATGTCCCCAGCAAGAAGGCCCTTTGGCCCTCTTTTGAATCAGATCAACAGCCCCAGGTGAGTCACTTCTCTCTGCTGAACCAGAGAAATGGGTCAGGTTCGGCCGCCTGGGAGAGGGGAAGGGATGAGGGCCTAGGTATAATTGTCCAGACATCCCTGTTGCTCTGGATGGTTGATTTCTCACAGAGAATGAAAACACGAATCAGAACTGCAAGCTGGGCCCATCCCATTAGCCAGTAATTCCAAAATGATGGGCTAAATCGACAGAGACACTGTAGAGCGTCAGAGGGAAATGAAGATGAATTGTAGGCTGGGATCACAGAACTTAGCTCCCAAGATCCATTGGGCAAGAGAGACAGGCCCTCCCCCTCACTTTGTGGATGGAGGGACTAGATGTTGGGTGTCACTCTTGAGGTTAAAGGTTGGCCTGACTGTGGTACCTGCTGTGCATCATCAGGCAAGTCTCTCAGCATCTCTGAGCTTTCTTGTCCTCCTTCCTACTGAGAATGGGAATGTCAGCTAGGCCTAAACAAGGACAAAGAGAAGTCAAATGCCATAACTGGTCTATCTACATGCATGTAAGGTGGGTCTGGGGCATGCTGCTGTGTCATTGGTCCAGATGCAAATGTCATATATTTAAATGTCATATGTTTAACTTTAAGATGTCTTAGAAGTCTTACTCCACCATGGATAGGCAAGGGAGGGAGGTGAAAATGCCCACTCTAGTCCACCCACAGGGATTCAGGAGGACTCAGAGTCATGCCCCCAGGAACGATGGCCTGTGGTGGTGAAGTCTTAAACTCTCTGGTACCTTACACATGGTCCAGAAAAGCAGCCTCTTTTGTTTTTTATAATTTTGTTATTTTTATGTTAAGTGTACGAGTGCTTTTCCACTGTATGCCTGATACCTGTGAAAGGCACTGGGTCCCCAGGAACTGGAGCTAAGGAGGACTGTGAGCTGCCATGTATGTACAGGGAATCAAAACCTGATCCCCTGCTAGTGAGCCGCCATGTATGTACAGGGAATGGAACCCTTGTTCCTGCAAGAATAGTGAGTGCTCTTAACCTCTGAGCCATCTCTCCAGCCCCAAGGCTGCTACTCTTGAAACAGTAATGCATCTTCACTCACCGCCCTTTGCTCTGCCCACTGGGGCTGATACACAGCTGTGTGTCTCTCCTGTCATCTCTAAGTGCTTTGCTGAGTGTGTCTGACCCAGAGCATCCCCCTCTGGACCCATACTTCCAGGCAGAGCAGGAAGGGAAGGAGAATGGTGTATGAGGTGATGTCACAGGAGGGGTTCAAAGGACACACACAGCTGGCCAACCCCCACAAGTTGTTCTCTGACATAGGAAATGGGTCCTAAGAAAATGACCGCACAGTCCAAAGAATTTTGGAAAGGTAAATAGCCTTACTTTTTCCAAAAGGTGCCTAGCATGCAAACAAGCAAACATTCCCAGGGGAGGTCCCTTTGAGGTTTTTGTTTGTTTGTTCTGTTTTGTTTTTTGTTTGTTTTTGTTTTGTTTTTCTCCTAATGCAGAGAGGTCCTGTGTCTCACTCTTTATTTATGTGCATTGGTGTGAGGGTGTCAGATCCCCTGGAACTAGAGCTACAGACAGGTGTGATAGCCCTCTGGAAGAGCACCCAGTGCTCTTAACCGATGAACCAGCTCTCCAGCTCCCTATGTCTCACTATTGAGTGATGTGAGTTCAGCATCACATTCTCATGCCATTGGCTAATACAGAGCATCAGTTTCTAGGAAGAAAGGAAAGCTGAGCACATATTTTGATTTCAACAAGTGATGACCCTGGAGGAATTTGAGTTTCTGATAAGTGGATGCTTCACAATTTTTTATGGTTGTTTGTCTTATTTAAGTTGCATAGAAAAGACAGTACATTTTGTTTGCATCTCCCATTATGACCTCCTCATGCACACCGTGGTGCGTGCACACACACACACACACACACACACACACACACACACACACAAATAAAATTTATTGTATTTTTTAAAAAGATATCCTTTCACTGCTGTTCCTCTTTCTAAGACATACAATGACCTCAGGGTCTCTCTCGCCATCATTCAGAGGATGACACCTTTCTGAACTTCAACATTTGAGATCCACAGGAACGCAATGATTAACCCCACCTAGGTTATAACAAACTACAAGGAAATATGTGGCTATAAAGACAGATCTTGGGGGCAATAAAACTAACAATAATTTCAGTTGCCACCACGGTGGTGATGACGAACTAAGGACCAAGGCTCAGAGAGGAAAGGACTCAGGCAAGGGGGCAGAACTGGGATTTGAACTGGAACCTTGCTCATTCCAAAATTCGGTCCTTCTCTGCGTCCCCTTGCTAACCCAGAGGTTGTCCTGTTCAGTGCCCAGCATGTAAGCGGAAGGAAAACAGTCATGTGGGAATTCATTCTGCCGACAGGACTTGGTGTACTGGTCTTAGGGTTGAGCTTCTTGTCTGCAAAAATGACCCCTTTAAAGGAAAGAGGGGGCAATAACACTCTCAAGTGGTAGTTGGAGGTCGGACTGCTGGCTCTATTCATCCCCCAGGCAGAACGGGAAAACCACTGCATTGTTTATTTGTGAGTATATTCTAATAAACCCTAAACACCCCCCTGAAACAAACTCTTGTGGATTTGCCTATATTTGCCTACAAAGTTAGATGGTTTCCAGGCCTGTTTTGGAGAGGGAAGGGAAAGATACATAAAGAAGAATAACAAAATGCCAGGCCGGAGGAAGAGTGCAGGGGAGATAACTCCCATGAGTGATTGTGCATCCCCCGGAGGAAGGCGGGGCCATACTGCATCCATCACATGGTCTTAGTAAGTGTGGACTACCGGCACTGCCACAGATGACTCCAAAGCCTCCAAGGCTAGTCATTTCTCCTTCTCACAGAGATAAAGGTTGTGAGATCAGAATTAATGTTGCATTGATTGCTTTCCTGTACAGCCTCTTCATGCGGCTCTGCTTTGCTGGAGTTATTGTAGGGTTCTGTGCGTGTGTGCCTGCGTGTGTGTGTGTGTGTGTGTGTGTGTGTGTGTGTGTGTTGTTGTTGTTGTTGTTGTTGTTGTTTCTCCCAACAGAAGTGATCTAAGCATGCAAATCCCCTGGCTGAAATCTTTTGTTGAAGAAACCTTCAGGCTCCCAGATGTTTAGGGGTTCTGTGAAGCCGGGGAGGGTCTAACAGAGGAACCACAGTAGAGGGATGGTTCACGTGGGAGATTGCAGGGAACCGAGTTTCTGACTTGGAAAAGGCTAGGGACCTTATAAACATTCCAGAAGAATGGTGACAATGGCTCTCCAGACCTAGAGTTCCTAACTTGTCATCATTAAACCCTAAGATAGAAAAGAATGGTCTGAACTTGGCCAGATCCTAAAAGTTCCCGAAAAACATTCCAGGGGAGTCCCCTCCTGACTCAACAGTGGCACAAATAATGAGAAGGTTCTCCAATAAGCCATGTGGGTTTCTGCCATAGCTCTGCCTCTAGGTCGGTGACCTTAGACAAATGACTTCCTCTCCAAGCCCTGCTATGCAATTTAGTGAAACACATGTGCCACTTTTAAATTTGTACTGCGGGCATGGCCTGGGGGGTGGGGAGGAGCGCAGCACGTGTCCCACGGTACCCACAGTGAGGTCTGAGTAAATTCTCTCCTTTTACCTTAACATGGGTTCTGGGAGCAGGGCTCAGGTCACCAGTGTTAGGAATAAAGCACATGGGGGACCTTGGCGGATTCCATGACAGGCAAGGAACCAACATGCCAGGCAGAGAGAGCTTAAGTGAAGAACATCGAGGAAAAAGAGCGGAAGCGGGTGGAGTTTTTCTTTTAAAGGGTCCTTTGCATCTACGTGCAGACTACGTAGTGATGTGGCAGCCATAGGACCCTGACCTGTCCAGGAGCCTGCCTGAGTGCATTCTGCCTGGTACCTAGGGGCAGGCCAGCATAATGCCTGAATCCTTACAACCAGGCCTTCACAGCCAGCCTCTTTCCCTGATGACCCGCCTCGCCTATTCCCATTTCTTTGGAAAAATAGGACACTTCTCTTTTATGATGCAGCTTCTATTTTATGATGTGTTTTGATTTAAAAGCAAGCTGCACCAGTTAACGAGAGGAGATGTTAAAATGTGGAGCAGAATGTGCCTCTTACTGCAATGTTTAGCTAAAAGGCTCCACCCTGGTAACACTGCTCTTAGAAACAGATGGGTTTTTGCGGGTAAAATTCAAACGGAACCTGTCGCAGTCCGCGCCACTGAATACCAGCTGCCATGGTAGTGGTGTTTAATCTCTTTAATGACTAGAGGGTTGGGGTCCCATCCCTGGGTACACTAGGGCCCGCAGAGCTCCAAGGTCCCAGTTCCCTGCTGAGAACCCAGCAGGCAGGTGCAGAGAGAAGGGGATGAGGAGCCAGGCAGGACCCTCATACTGAACATACCTGAGCCTGAACATTCACAATGAGGACTCTTCCCAGAGCCCCAGCTCACCCTGCACTCAGAGTTCCTG